TCTTGTTATCACAACTAGACAAGCTTTAGAATCTTCCACCCATTTTAAAATTATATTTATGTAGCCTTCATTCACTTGCTTGTGAACTTCCGTCCTTTTTGAAGTGCTTTAGTAAACACTGACTGCTGCCCAAATTCATTGTTAAGTAGTAGTGATATCATAGAGTTTCACAGTAGTCTCGTCGTGCTTAACTCTAAGTCTTACAAGTGGATTGCTCTCTACCGGTGGTTACCCAGAATTCCGCCCCCTGCATCCATAAACAGCTTAACTCAATTCTTAATGATTGAATCTGCTGTGCTTGTGTGGTGCCTCAAGGTCCCTCTCTTCCCTCCTTTCTACCAAGGAGACAATCTTTGACGGATGCACTGCATTTTGTGTTCTCCATCACACGATATACAGCTTTTATTTTGTGCTGAATGCATCTGAGCATGTTTGTAATTATTCCTCGTGACTCTCTAAAACAGCGTCGGATGCCTCTCCTGGGTGAAAGTTATCCAAATGAGTTGCTGTATGCTAGCGTTTTATGTTTACACCTCAGATGTGGAGGCTAGGTAGAAAGCAGACTAATTAATATCGTTAGAAAGTCTAACCCAAAAGCTTAAGTTGATAGTGGAGGAGACCACATGAATATAAAGAGCATTGAGGATTTGTTGTCAATCGATGTGGGATAATACTGCGCACATTCACATGGAATTTTTACCACGCACATCCGCGAAAGAGATAGCACTGGCTCTGATACCATATTAGAAAGTCTAACCCAAAAGCTTAAGCTGATAGTTGGAGGAGACCACATGAATATAAAGAGCATTTAAAGCCCGTTATCGATCGATGTTGGATTTACAACAAACACCTTTCTTTAATACATTTCTAATGGTAATCATGCTTCCATCGATTTTAGTACTCTTAATTTGGACTGAGCTTGATGAATTTCTAGAACTTCTGTTTATATGATCCTAGACAGCATCATTGGAGCAAAGGGTTTCTGTTTTTTTATTTTCTGTTATTTGTTTTATATACCTTACTTGAATGACATGATATAACTGTGGTAGATTTCATACCGGTTTTCTTCTGAATAGGTCATCCCTTTTACTCCTAGTGCTGGTGTGCTTGAATGGGTTAATGGTACTCTTCCTCTAGGTGAATACCTTATTGGAAGGTCAGTATAAATAAAAGATGCAGTCTCCTAGTAACTTGACTTCTATTGTTATGCGAATCTTTATATAGCTATTGTTGTCAATCTAATTTCAGCATGAGAAATGGAGGTGCACATGGTCAGTACGGGAGAGGAGATTGGTCATTTCATAGATGCCGAGAGCGCATGACTAATGTAAGTCTCATATCTTTCAGCAAGTTATTAACATGTAGACAGTGACACATGCTGTAATTTATCGTGATGAGTTGGATAATTGACAAATTTTGACAAATTCAATGAGTGTCGAGGGAGTAATTTGACTTTCTGAATCAGTAATTCAAAAGGGGGCCAAAAGAGGATAGATGCTAAAGTTAAAACTAGGAATATTATCCCTGCTGCTTCGCTGTTGATAAGTATCAGATAAGTGACTATTTTCCATTTCTTTTAATGAATAATGATTGGACCTGTCTGTATTAATAGGAAAAGGACAAGCGCAAAGCATTCCAAGAAGTCTGCAAGAACTTCAGGTTACTGCCTCTGCTTGGAGATAGAAATGCATACTTTAGTGAAGATCAAAGCAAACTACCTTGAACTCATATTTGACACTTGACACAGGCCAGTCATGCATCACTTTTTCCTGGAGAGATACTCATTGCCAGCTGATTGGTTTGAGAGAAGGCTTGCTTACACGAGAAGCGTGGCTGCTAGTTCAATGGTTTTTCTATATATATCTTCTCTGATATTTCTAGTAGAGATGATACGTTTTTTCTCCATATTCTTTTAGCACATTGTTGCGTTATATTATTTTAGCACATTGTTGCTTAATATAAGGAGTACCTTAAGCTTGATGCCACAGAGCAGATGGCCCAATGTGAAAGAAACTGAAAGGCTTTAGTGTTAGAAAGTCTATCCTAGAAGCTGACGTTGATAGGTGGAAGGGGATTACATGAATATAAAGCTTATTGAAGCCCCATAGACTAGAGATGTGGAATACCTTAACATCCCCTATATATGTGCAAACCGGATTGATAACGGCATATGGATTTGACGCATAGGGAGCCTCAGACGCGATATACTAGACGGAACCTAACTTTGATATCATGTTAGAAAGTCTAACCTAAAAGCTTAAGGCTAAGGGATGCTACGTGAAATAAGGTCCATTGAAATCCTATAGACAGATGAGGTACTTTAACATTTTCCCGTTAGTGTTGATTTGACCTATGCAGAAATTTATCTTTAGAAATTTCAGATAGAAACGTGAGCCAGTGATGGGTGAACACATTCCAAAGAAGTTAAATAAGATTTTGCTCAGTGATTATGACATTTATGCCTGTCCTTTTTCCACTTCTCTTGGGAAATTCTTGTAGTTAATTGTTTATGCAGAAGATGTGAGAGATGCTAATGAATTTGTTTCTTATTCAGGTTGGCTATATAGTCGGTCTAGGAGATCGACATTCCATGAACATTCTAATTGATCAGGCCACTGCAGAGGTTGTTCACATCGATCTTGGTGTTGCCTTTGAGCAAGGGTTGATGCTGAAGACCCCAGAGCGGGTTCGTTAATTATAAAACTTTCAATATTTTGTCTTCCTCTTGGAAGAATTTTAAAAAAAGATTATTTTGGAAATATTAAAGAGAAATTCGTTAAAAGGTTACAATGGGGGTACTACTTCCCTAGGAAAGAATTTCAGGGTAGAGTGCAATTATATAACCAAAATTCCACTCAGCAGTCTCGCCAATTGAATTCTGCAGATCCCTTTCAGGCTAACAAGAGACATCATTGATGGTATGGGAGTTACAGGAGTAGAGGGAGTGTTCAGAAGATGTTGTGAAGAGACTATTTCTGTGATGAGGACAAATAAAGAAGCACTGCTGACGATTGTTGAAGTAGGACTAGCTTTCACAGATTGTCTTGAGAAGTTGTTTGAAGTTTTATGTTTCCGTATGAAGACTGAAAGATAATCTTTTGCAGGTTTTCATCCATGATCCACTTTATAAATGGGCTTTATCTCCATTGAAGGCTTTGCAGCGTCAAAAGGTATTTTCAAGTGTTGAGCAGATTTATCTAGAATTTCGCTAGGGAATAGAAAACTCGGAACCCTTTTTCCGATTCTTCGATAGCCACGAGTGGATGGTCAACTTTGCACTATGGGGCTTATTCTAGGATTCATAGAAGAGATTTGAGAGTTGCCAAAATTGTGCTGCCTAATGGCGATAGATTTTCTGTCAATGGAAATTCCGGAAAGCGTAAGAACCGTGTTGGCATATTTAACACGATCATTTGTTCAAGTATCCCACAATGGAAACATGATGTTATCGAAGTCAATGAACATCATCTACACTCGATTCTTTTTGCCATTTACTTGCTCCATGTTGTTGTAGAGATTTGCATGCTAAGTATCGATCTCGACTTGACAGGAAACGTATGATGACTTGGAGACATGCTTTGAAGACTCTCAAGATGAATATGAAGGGAATAAGGATGCTACAAGGGCACTGATGCGGGTCAAGCAAAAGCTGGATGGATATGAAGAGGGAGAAAGGAGAAGCGTGCATGGTCAGGTAATCCCTCCTTTTCCATTCCCATTGATCCAACCATTCAAATGTGATCCTGAGCATGGTCTCTCAGGCTCATTTTTAAATAGCCAATGTTAACTGAACAAAGAAAGACGTATCTCTGCTAAGCATTCTCCCGTCGCTATTTATCAAGTTCGCTTTTCTAGCTCAAATGCAAAGCCGGCTTTTAGGTGCATTTAAGTGATCCTAGAAATGAATGTGCTGGAGCGACTCTAGTAGGAAACAATTGTTTGGTGATAAGGCTCATGAGAGGGCTTACAGTGCTTTAGCGAGAGTACAGTAACATTGATTTGTGATATTCTTCTAGGTCCAACAACTCATACAGGATGCCATCGATCCCGACCGTTTATGTCAACTGTATGCCGGATGGGGAGCCTGGTTGTGATGCGAACACAACTTTATCCTCCTGACTTCTGAAGGCACCCACCACCCAGTCATCCTGTACAGGCGTGGCTGTGTATAGTATTCTTATTGGTTGAGTCATGTATTGGGTGAAGCAGGTGTTCGTAAGAATGAGAAGAGGATCCCACAGTCATATAATTTCAAACTTTTTGTTCTTACTGCTTTTTTTTTTGGGTGCCCTTCCTAATTCAAGCTCATTCAATTATATGGTCTGCTTGCTCTGGGATATCCATCCTGAGAGCCGACATCCGAACATATAGTTCTCAATGTCACATTTCGTGGTGTTGGTAATGGCTCCTTTTTGTGTTGCGCTAGCAAGCATATTTGGTTTCTTTTTGCATTTTTCTATCGTCTATATTCATCAAAATTACGTGGCAGAAAGTAATGGGCAGTAACAGAGTTAGGGACAGCTATCTCGGGCACATAGAGAGACTCTCTACGAGCTTGCAGTGTGAAAACCTCTCTCTAACAAATGAAAGTCAGATAGCACGCGGTCTGGTCGGTACCCAGTTTCCACCTCCCCGTTGGGTCAACCCCTTTGTCACCTAAACTAAAGCTGGACATCATTACTTCGTCCAAAACGAAGTTTCTATAGGCATAGTTAATGTCGTTGCCTTTTCAGTTTGAATTGCTCACGGATGCCTGCGGACATATTGCGAGGAAGCATCACTATCACCGCTCGTAGAGATGGTGAAACCTGCGTGTTACTATTGTATGTGGCGGGTAATGTGAACGAAGGAAAAGCACTCGTGTCTCCAATGATAATAATGACAAAACTTGCCTTTTTTCTAAGCCACGCATGTGGTCCTGGCCCACAACCGGCCACCGCCAACGCATTGATAGATGCTTCAACTGCAAGTCCTCCACCCTGTATAAATTGCATCTGCCCTTTGAACTCTTGAACACTTCTTTTCTCTCTCGCTCTGAATTCGAGTTTAGACATCCCTTATGATGCAACGTTTATGCACTGGTTCTCGAATGCAAGCATCGGCATTGCTAGCTCTCTGTCCAAGCTTCGGTAGCTACTGTCCAAACGAGATAGCAGAAATTGCTTCCAGAGTTATGGAAGCGATGGCCATGGATAACTCGCTCGAGGAAGAACCTGCTCGAGGACAGCCAGAATGCGAAGTGCCAGCCGCCGAGCAAGACGAAGAGGGTGAGGCAAGCAATTTTGAGTTCACATTTGTGGATGAGGGTTCAGAGTTGCCTGCGATGGTAGCCGCTGATGAGATCTTCTACAATGGTCGGATAAGGCCTCTGTGCCCCGTCATCCATGAAGCTGTGATGTCCAATATTGCGATCCAAAACATGGATGAGAATGGCCTTAATTCAAGGAACTTGAGGAAAAGGACTTTGCGGGTGCCGCTTAAGAAGCTCATGAGCGAAGAACGAGACTCGTTCGCGTCCTGTTCTTCCTCGGAAGCGGATGAACTCGACGGGATAGCTCCAGAAATGTACTGTGCGTGGACGCCTAGATCACCAGGAGCACCTCCGACACGCCCTGAAAGCAAGAGCAATTCTGCTCATCATTCAAAAAGGTGGAAACTCAAAGATATGCTCTCTGATTGAATATGGAGAGATATGGACAGCACATGGGAGGTGTATGAAGGCGTCATGTTGAGAGAATTATTGAAATTACATCGGCCAGAGGAATGATGGATATGTATAACGTCTTCTTTTGGTTTTTGCCATATAACGTGTTATTATTATGTATCCAAATTCAATTTATTCAAGTTGGATGCAACTCAATGGGGATCCCTTTGGTCTCACAACCTGCAATGGACATGAGAGTTTATTGCGGAAACTTTGTGCTGCGACCTTGAGATTGAGCATGGAACTAGTTTGGGAATTGCCAATTTTTCCAATAAATTACCAAAATTTGTTGGCGTAACATTTCAACGTCGTACACTTATACCGGCTTTTATGGAAATTTATCAACCCGTTTAGGTTATGTACAAACTTTATTCTTATACAAAAGTATAATATTTATTTGAATTAGTTATCAGCCTTTTTTTGTGATTAAGTTACTAAGTTTATGGTATCAACTCTTATTTGACTACTTACCAATTTTTTTTTGTTTATTGAAAATTACTAACTTCTTTAATGAGTACCTAACTCTTAGTAGCATAAGTTACCAACCGTTTAAATTTATCGACTCTTGGATAAATATATCAACTTTTGTTTCAACTATTTACCAACATTTTCCCAACAAAGTTATCAAGCAACCCCCCTACAACATCTATTAAGTTACCAACTCTTATATAAAATTATCAATATTTACTTGTTTGTTTGGAAATTACCAATGTTTTCATTAAATTATAAACCTTGTTTTGTGTAACTTATCTGTGTTTTGAATTTATTAACTCGTATACAAAATTAGCAACCTCAATTTGAGTTATTTACCATATTTTCACCAATTAACCAGTTAATTTTATTTTAACAACTGGTATTCGATTCACTTACCAAACATGTATTTATTTTTGTGAATATTTAACTATTTCCGATAAACTATCTTCCGTATTTGTGCAAGTTACAAATATATGAAGACAAGTAAATCTTGAGCTAAATTACCGGTGTGGAACTTCAGTTATTTCCCAATATTTCTCTGATTGAGTTAAGAACTAGCCTTAACATAGCGTTCTCAATTAACATATCGATTTTTATTTATTTGTTTGAAAATTCCCAACTTTTGCAAATAAATTACCAACTTATACTTAGGTAGCTTACAGACATCACAAATTTACGAACTTTTCTTTGATTAGATTACCAACAATTTTTTAATTTATCAATTAATTTCAATAAATATATCCCATCGTTTACTTGATCCATTGAAAATTCCTATAAAGGGATAATGATACAAATAGTCAATGAACTTTGGTCTAAATGTGCAATGTGATCCTTGAACTTTTAATTTGTTTAATGTAGTCCTTGAATTTTAGCCTAATGTTCAGTGTGGTTTCTGAACTTTTAATTTGTTCAATATGATTCTTGAACTTTTGGTACATGTCCAATGTAGTCTCTGAAGTATATAAAAATGTTCAATGTAATCTCTGAACTTGAATTAATTGAAGGATTATATGGAACATTTTTATGTAGTTCAGGGACTAAATTGAACATGTATTAAAAGTTTAGGAACGAAATTGAACAAATTGAAAGTTCATGGGTCATATTGCACATTGAGTCAAAGTTCATGGACTTTTTGCGTCATTTTCCCTACAGATAAATTAGCAATTTGGCTTTCTTCTTACAATAAAAAAAAAAGGAATAAGTGCACTAGAAGTCCTAAAACTTGTTACGAAAGTGCAATTGAGTCCTAAAACTTTCAAAAAGTGCAAACAAGCCCTAAAACTTGTCACGAAAGTGCAATTGAGTTCTAAAACTTTCAAAAAGTGCAAACAAGTCCTAAAACTTGTCACGAAAGTGCAAACAAGTCCTAAAACTTTCAAAAAGTACAATCAATGGAAGGACTTGATTGAACCAATTTGATAAGTTTTAGGACTTGTTTGCACTTTCGTGACAAGTTTTAGGACTTGTTTGCACTTTTTTAAAGTTTTAGGACTCAAGTGTATTTTTGTGACAAGTTTTAGGGCTTGTTTGCACTTTTTGAAAGTTTTATGACTCAATTGCACTTTCGTGACAAGTTTTAGGACTTTGAATGCACTTATCCCAAAAAAAAAAAGGAGACAAATGCACCACAAGTCCTAAAACTTGTCACAAAAGTACATTTGAGTCCTAAAACTTGCAAAAAGTTCATTTGAGTCCTAAAACTTGTCAAAATGGTTCATTTGAGTCCTAAAGTTAACACCGTTAGATTTACTAACGGAAAATGCTGACGTGGAGCTGACGTGTCATTTTTAATTATTTTTCTTGAGACACGTGGCGCCACGTCAGCAAAAATAAAAATAAAAATAAAAATAGAAAAAGCTGTAAAAAAACCAAAAAAAGGAAAAAAAAAAAAAACAGAACCGGCGGTAGCCAAGCCCGGCGGCCACCGCCGCCACAGCCACCGGGAAGGACCGGCGGAGGTCGCTTGGGCCTTCCCGAAGCCCGGCGACCCTCGCAGGCCCCGGTGAGGGCCGGCGACCCTCGCTCGAGATCTCGGGGCGAGGTCGCGCCCTCCCCAAGATCGAGGGTCGTCGGCCCTCGCCGGGACTCGCACGGGGCGGCGGGAGTCGCCCAGGCCTTCCGGCCGGCGACCCTGCATGCGACTCGCGCCCGTCTGCGAGATCCGGCGGGGCCGACGACCCTCGATCTTGGGGAGGCGCGACCCTCGCCCATCTCCTGGCCGATGGTCGTCGGCCACTCGCCGGGACTCGCCGGGGGCCGGCGAGGGTCGCCGGGCCAGGGAATGCCCACAGCGACCTTCGCCGCCCAGGCCCCATGCGAGTCCACAGCGGGCAAGGGCCTACACCCTCGATCTCGGGGGAGTGGCGCGACCCTTGCCCCAGATCTGAGCGAGGGTCGCCGGCCCTCGCCGGGGACTCGCCCGGGACCGGCGAGGGTCGCCGGGCTTCGGGAAGGCCCAAGTGACCTCCGCCGTGACCCTCGATCTGGGGGAGAGCGCGACCCTCGCCCCAGATCTGAGCGAGGGTCGCCGGCCCTCGCCGGGGACTCGCTCGGGGCCGGCGAGGGTCGCCAGGCTTCGGGAAGGCCCAGGCGACCTCCGCCGGTCCTTCCCGGTGGCTGTGGCGGCGGCCACCAGCGGTGGCCGCCGGGCTTGGCCACCGCCGGCTTTGTTTTTTTTTTTCCTTTTTTTGGTTTTGTTTTTGTTTTTTTACAGCTTTTTCTATTTTAATTTTTGCTGACGTGGCGCCACGTGTCTCAAGAAAAATAATTAAAAATGACACGTCAGCGTTTTCCGTTAGTAAATCTAACGGTGTTAACTTTAGGACTCAAATGAACCATGTTGACAAGTTTTAGGACTTAAATGAACTTTTTGCAAGTTTTAGGACTCAAATGGACTTTTGTGATAAGTTTTAGGACTTGTAGTGCACTTATCCAAAAAAAAAAAAAATGCCTACTTCAAGACTCGCAGCGTTCTCTCTCCTCCCCAAATATGAACCACACCCCCGACCGCCCCAGAAACACTGAGGTTTCGCGCGACCTCGTCCGACGGCGACGAAGATCAAGAACATTCATGAGAATCATGAAGCTTTTCCGACACCTCTCATCGTTCGTGTTCTATTTCACGAGCTCCTGTCGGTAAATAACCGACAAGAGAGGCAGTGATGCGGCGGAGCGCCCGAGGGAAATGGCAGTGCTTCACCCGTTGCTCTCGTGCGCCTCCTCTCGTCTCCCATGTCGTTCGACCCACCAGAAAGGTCTCAAATTTCAATCGCTCAAGCCACCCCAACTCGAAATTAAGCAGCTTTGTTGCAGCAAAACGTCAGCTTTAGCGCCACGTAGTTTTGTCCAGCCATTTCCTAGCACTTCCCCGCCGCTCCGTCGCCAAAACCCACCGGAAAGATCAGACTCTGAGCTGTTGTTATTGAGCAGTGAACCTGCAGTTGATGTTCACATGTTTAGCGAGAGAATTAATGATTTCGTGGACCGAGGGTTGTTCGAAGATGCTGTAAGATCTTATATTCAGATGCTTGAGTATGTTTTACCTGTTGAGGAATTCCAGTTCTTTCCACGTTTGATTAAGGCTTTTGGGTGGATGTCCGATGTGGAGAGGGCGAAACAGATACATGGCCATGTGTTGAAGCTGGGAACTTTGGATGCTGTGGAGGTTGCCAATTCGGTCTTAGGGATGTATTGGAAATGCGGGGCTGTTGATCACGCTGTCCGCATGTTTGGGAAAATGCTCGACCGGGATTCGGTTACTTGGAACACAATGGTTTCGGGGGCCCGCCGGTCTGGGGATTTCAGTGGTTCATTGGGGGTTTTCAGCCAAATGGTAGGGGACTTTGGTGTGTACCCAAATAGAGTGGCTTGTCTTTCTGCTCTCTCGGCATGTGCTTCAGTTAGTAGCTTGATCCATGGGCGAGAACTCCACAGTTTTGTCGTGAAAAATCATTTTTCATTTGATCGGTCTTTGGCTTGTGGGATTATTGATATGTACATGAAATGCAGGGACATAAGGAGTGCTGAAAATGTCGTCATGAGCGTTGTGGAAAAAGAGTCTGTGATTGGAAATTCAGCGATATGGAATGCAATGGTGCTTGGCTATTTAACTAATGGTTGTCTATCAGAGGCTTCAGTGCTGTTGGCTGAAATGTTTGGGTTGGGTGTAGAAGATGATTCTTCAATCATTGTTGCTGCTTTGGTTTTTTGTTCGCATTCCTTGGATTCTGTCCTTGGAGAAAAAATCCATGGACTTGTTTGCAAATTTGGAATGGAAAAAGAAATAAGAGTAGCTACTGCTCTAATGGATATGTATTTAAAATGCGGTAAGGCTGAAGCTGGTCAAAATATCTTCAGTAAGTGTCAAACTCGTAATATAGTGATGTGGGGAACCTTAATCTCAAATTATGTCAAAAGTGATCTCCCCACTGAGGCATTGGATCTATGTCATAAATTTATAGATGAATATGGATTTGCAGATTCAGTTGTAGTTTTAACTGCATTGCGCGCATGTTCATCTTTGACTCTTATAGCAAAGGGGAGGGAGTTCCATGGATTAGCAATAAAAGTAGGGCTTACTGGTGATGTTTTTGTTGGAGGTGCATTGGTTGACCTTTATGCAAAATGCACAGATATCGAGTCTGCTCAAATTGTTTTGCATGGACTACCGTTGAGAGATTTGGTACCATGGAATGCTTTAATATCTGGATATACGCAAAATGACCTTCCAGATGAAGCCTTGAAGTCATTTCGTGATATGCAGTTGGAAAACATCAGACCAAACACCGTTACCATAGCATCCATTCTTTCTGTTTGTGCTCAAATATCAGCATTTAGCATGTGCAGGGAGGTCCATGGTTACACATTGAGGCAAGGGTTTGAATCCAGTGTTCTCGTGAGCAATTCATTAATTTCCACATATGCAAAATGTGGGGACATATGCAGTGCTCGCATTATATTCGACAGCATTCAGGGAAAAAACCAAATATCGTGGAATTCTATTATATTGGGATTAGGAATGCATGGCCGCACAGATGAAATGTTTGCTCTATTTGAAATAATGAAGTCAACTGGTGTGATGCCGGACCGTGCCACTTTCACAGCTCTTCTTTCTGCATGTAGCCATTCAGGTAGGGTTGATCGGGGATGGGAGTACTTCAAAAGTATGGCCGAAGACCACAAACTTGAGCCTCAACTTGAACAGTACACTTGCATGGTTGATCTTCTGGGCCGCACTGGTCATTTGGACCATGCATATGACCTGATCATGTCCATGCCTTTTGCTCCGGATGATAGGATCTGGGGATCATTGCTTGGATCTTGCAAAACTCATGGTGATGGTAGGCTGGCAGATGTCGTGGCTGGTCATATTTTTGAAATTGATCCAGATAGTATCGGTTATCGTGTCCTCCTTGCCAAATTACATGAGTTTAATGGGAAGCATAGTTTGGTTGCTAATATTAGATCAGATATACAGGACAAAGGACTGAAGAAGCAACCTGGTTGCAGTTGGATTGAAATTGATAGCAAGATGCATGCTTTTATTGCAGGGGACCATTCACACCGTCAGTCACAAGAAGTTTATGCCACTCTGGATTGCTTGACAAGAGAGATTTTAAGATTATCTCATACAAATCGGTCAAATGAAGAAGATACTGAGTTTGATGTGGCCAGGCCAGAGAAGCTTTTACCATGTGACAACAATCGTTTGTTTATTGTAACGTGATGGAGGAAACTATAATATAACAGTTTCCAGAGAAGTTCTGCCATGGCTCTGCAAAAAATGAGTGACGTGCAGCAACTGAATTTGAGAGTTGGAGAAGCGTGACGATACCAAGACAATCTACAGACTCCTCCATCTCTGTTTCTCCTGCAGCAGATACGAGAGGTTGTTACCCAAATCTCCAACACAATTTTTGGTTATTTTCTCATTTTAACTTCCAACTATTACCTCGTATTAAACCACAGGATTAGTGTAATTTCGCGTCGTAATAATTTTATTCTCATCTTTGATGCATAATCATGAGCCATCTATCGGAGTTTATGTGAGGATTCAGTATTCTGGAATTGGGTGGTTTCTATTATGTTCATGTGTAAGCTAATGGAAGTTTCTTCTGTCATTCATAATTTCGATATTTCAGGGATGTGGAAAATCCACCAGTAACGTTGAGAGACAAGCGCCACCACTATTGTGGGCAATTATATGAAGAGTTATGGCATCCTTCAGAAACAATTGGATCCTAGGTTCTGTCATTTTTTAAGTGATTTGTAGGAAGAAGCTCTAGGTTGCTGAACTTTCAGCAATATCAGGTCAAAGGCATTAACAGAACTAAACCACCACTGATCTCGGTGAGTTTTCTTTAAGAGTCACAAGTTTTTCACTGGAGAAATAAATTTGGAGAAGGTGGCAAGACAATTTTTTCAAGATAGTGTCTGGATTCTCTGAATGCAAAGGTTAACTGGCATGCATGCTCCAAGTGATTCGGTTGAATGGAATACGGAGTTTTCTTCACTAGATGCTCATACATGTGGCGTCCTCGAAGAGATGAGACATGCTGTGTAAGTACTACCAATGCTGTCTCTGACATACTATTTCTCCGGGAAAGAGGCACCTTACATCAAACATTGGCAGCAGAATTAGTCAGAATTCGGTGACTATTTGTGAGCAAGCCTTCCTGATGTAAATGTACTGGTCTTTGCAAATGGAAATGATCGAGATACTCTGTGGGCAGGTGGAGAAGTTTTCACTTGCTTTTTCCATGTGTTGCTTGTGGCACTCAAACTATGAAAAGAGGTACCTGCACAGCAAAAACATGTGGAAATGAGACTGAAGGCGCCGGTAATTGGTTCTGGAAACTGATTTCTATAATGAGTGTTTTTGCTAGAGAGTGCTCTATCGTTGCAGATGACATTGTTTCATCCAGACTCTTTCCATTTACGAGTAAAAGCACTGTCAGGCTTTTGTGCGTCAGTTGCGAAATATTCGGTATTATGGTTGTCCTGAGCTTGCGATCAAAGCTACATCGAGCTTTACAGAAAATTAGGGATTGGATTCGTCGATTATGATAAAATTTGATCCCTAAACAAAAATATCGATAACGCATGATGTTGCATTTACTTTGCATCGAGACATTAGGAACATTTTTATTCGGTCGTAACATGCTCATATCAAATGAATTGTATTCAAGTTGGCCCGGTCATGAATTGCATTGGAATTAGCTCAAAATATTGAATAGGACTTCAATATAGAAGAGGAGAGAGGCCCTAATCTCATGTGGATTTCTAAAGCTAAGTCCATTTGATCCAACCCACATTGAAATTCGGCCAGCCCATATTCCCATCTCCTATAGCTGAAATCTACATGATGTTCTAAAACTTGGTAAGCAAAGATGCATATTTCCTCTACGACTTTCGGCCACATGTGAAAATAAGAGGGTATATTTATTATTTCTTACTCTGAGGGTCATAATTTCACTTAATCCCCAAAAAGGGACAGTGATGTACTTTCTCTTGCTTTTGAGAGCTCAAGACTAGCGCCTACACATAGGAGTGCACGGTCGGCCGTTCAAGGGGGAGAACACAATTCACTCACTCCATTAGTATCTCTCGCGGTCGCTCTCCCGCGCAAGCGCTCTTGGCGAAGTCCCTTTTCCGGTGTTCCCTCAGAAGTTTTTCATTCCGGATGGCCTCCATCTTCGCCCAACGTCCTTCAAGTATCGTGAGCACTACCAGTAGTACTAGTACCCTAAATTGGCATCCCATTGTGCTGTCCGTGAGCACTCTCCGCTGGTGGTCTCTCTCTTGGTTGCGGCTCATTCATCTCAGCCAAGCCTTGGTTCGTGACTCTACTTTGGTGATCCGGGTTCCGCCCTTACGGCCAATCTCCTTTGACGTCCTTCAACGAGCCCCCATCCGAGTTCCGGCATCTCCTTCGTTGTCTAGGCGTTGCACTATCACCAGCAGTCCCTCTCTTGCCTTGATAACCCAGCGCCCATAGTCCTAACCAAGGTAGGATTCAAATATTATCCTAGTCGTAGTAGGATTAATATTGTCTGCAATTGACTTCAATGCTTCGACTTTAGTTTTTATGTCATGTCATTTTTTTTCAATGAACAGTCCATGCCTTAGGTTTAATTCAATTTCTCTAGGTTTGCCTGGCAACATATACTGCATACTCTATTGGGGAATTGAATCTATGAGCCAAAAGATCGAACCATCAATAATATTTTCCATTCATAGCATATAGTTGTGTGCATTTAATGTCAAGAATGTTGATAATGTTAAATCTTGGTGATATTGGGTGGTTCTTGAGTAATATTGACGATCTTGCATGCCTATAGGATAATCTTGAACAATTTTGAATTATCTTGATTAATATTGGCAAATCTTGATGAGCATTAATGAGTCTTGGATTTTTTTTTTGTCTGTCTTACTCTAACCCTCAACTCAATCTCGGACTTTTGTCCTATCTTTTGCAGGGCGTAAGAGTCGAAACCCACATCTGAAACTATACGTCCCCACCTCATAGCCCTCCCCTGAGAAGGTGAGGAATATCATTGAATCCTTCCAGTCAATTTTGGCCGAATATCATTGACGTGGATACCAGTTATTCTACGTGACATGATTGGCGCTAATTTGAATAATTTTTTTTAATAATTTGTTTGATAGGATCTCGTGTTGAGGCTCAACGACGAGGCTGAGCTTTTACTTGCTTGGTGCATTTCAAGTTCTTTAACTTTTCTACTATCTATTTGCCGCTTGGATTATTGGGGTTAGTCATTTTCATATTTTAGTGGTTTTTGATAATAAAATTGGCAAACACTGCATGCAAATCATTTTCATAAAGGAGAAATGGCACCAAAAAGTATTATATTAGTCTAACATAATCAAGTCTCCAAATTCAAAATCTCTAGTTTGCATGAATAAGGCAGACCCTCTTGTTTTACTTGGGTTTCAAATCGATCCATAATTAAATGACGACAGATCCAAGATGAGATGAATTACATGATTGAATTAAGGACTTAGTTGCGGTTGAAAGGATCTGGGAGAGTCCATGCCAAGCGTGCTCGTGAGAGAAGCTTTCGTTCCCACCTAATAATTCGTCAGCTTTCCTAAAGTGGCTCATCTCGAGAGAGGTGGCAACACTACTCCGTCGCTTTGTACGTGCATAACAAGAAGGGAAAAAAAAAACCTAGAAGTTAAAAGTGACTGATCTTTCAGCACTCGGTCCATTGCAAACAGACGTAGATTCTCACGGCTCTTTAAGAGCATCCATCAAAGCAAGATGGCTGGATTTGTCCAACGATTGCCAGGACAAGAAAGATGACTATTCTTCAACTCATAATCCAAGATTAGGTAGTACAACAACCGAGTACATCAAAGAAGGGGAGACGACAAACTTTCTGTCACTCCCACATGTTTGGTCTGGGAAAATGGATGAGGACAGTGAGTTGCTACTATAAGGCTCTTGATCATAATCAAACAAGTCAGTAATCTGGTCTATAAAACCACTATCAGCATCATAAATTATGTGCCGAAGGTCGCTAAGCCCTTATGGAAGCAGACCTCTGACCAGCAATACATATTGGTAGGCATCCAAAAAGAGAGTGATTGGGCGACGGTACAAACGATGAGAAAAATTCCGGATCCCGCTTGAGAGATTCTGTATATCTCTCCAGTATCGAGACAATCTCATCGAAATGGGGACGTTTGTCTGGATTGCTCGACCAGCATCGGCTGATGAGGTGTCTAAATGCCGGAGGACACTCTGGAGGCAGTGGTGGTCTAGCGTTCTGCGCGGAACCAGCAAAACAGTATGATACTCAACAATTCCAACAAATTAACGAAACGCATCAGAAGATTTGTGATTTCAAATAACTCGATAATACCTTCTGGGAAACAGCAAACGCGGCCTGCTCTGGAGTCATATCCTCAAAAGGTGTCAATGCTGTCAAGAGCTCCCACATGACTATGCCAAAACTGTAAACATCAACTTTCTTAGTATGGTGCTTCTCTTTGATCATTTCAGGTGCCATCCAACGGTAAGTTCCCGTAAACCCTTTAGTGCTTCCACACTGAGATTCTGAACATGAGATACCGAAATCGGCTACCTTCACAGACATGTCGTCTCCGAGAAGCACATTCTCAGATTTGAGATCTCTATGGAGAATCCCTTCAGAATGAAGGTATTTCATTCCAAGTGCAATCTCCAGAGCTAACTTCAGAACTAAGTTAAGAGGAACAGAATGCGGCTCCTGGTGGTGGAGGTATTTCCTCAACGATCCGCCAGGCACATACTCAGTGATGATGCAGAACACAGGTGGTTTTTTACAAGCTGCAACAAACTGCATAAGTACCGAAGATTAAATAAATGGCCGTACCGTTATTTTAGTCTATCTACTAGATGATGGATAATATTCAGAAATATGCATACAACAATTGCAACGATTCCACTCGGGACTTAGGGCAACCGCTTATAGAAGAAACCGCTCCAAAAAATAGGCATAGACAGTCATTCTAACTTATAGAGTATCTCGAGAGTTCTCAATCTCAACACATCTGGCACTTACTTTACATTTAAAGAAGGTGATCGTTGGTAGGAATTATTTCCAATGGAATAGTTCTATTCAATCACAATTGAACTGTTCAATGCAGCTCTCACAGATAAATAAACACAGTTGAGGAATGAAGGCCAGGAAAGTAGAAGGCTTAAAATGCCATCTAGACTACGCGTGTAGAGCATAAGGTGTTTTTCCTGTACTTGGCACCACAATGCATTATCGTAGAGAGAGCAAGATCTGCAATACCATAATATCTGCATTTTGCCTAGATAAATCCTAAACTGATTTCAAAATCCATTTCGATGGGCATTCATCCATCATGTGCGCATAGCAAGATTACAGAGGGGATCGCGAATGGGTAGCATTTGACAAGATCAAACAGCATTCGCCAAACTGACAAATAAAGTAGCTCAGCAGAAAGAAACAGATCGCAGTTACTTAGATGCAATTTCTCTAACATAATAGAAGTCATTGGTGGTTCATATTCTCACGGACAATACCGCCCTTTAACCCAGTAAAATGCATCTTCAGATGCTTCACGATCCGTGTTTTCAAAGGGCAGTTGATTAAAATAGATTCTACCAACCACAGCAGCTAGTTACTTTACCATGCGATTATTCAACCACTGTCCTATCGATGCTTCTCTAACAGCATGTTTTCATTTAAGCAACGAAATGCAAAAGGGTAAACCCCTATAGCACACTAGAGATTCTCTTAACAACCAAACCACATACGCAAACCAAAACGCGGTAACATACAAAGGTTGATGACTAAGGCCCTTACTGTTATGATATTCGTATGCCGTAGCCGGAGCAGCAATGCGACCTCGGAAGCGAACTGCTTCTCGAGCAAAGAGACCAGGTCCTCATCCTCCTCAGGCTGACTGATCATCTTGATAGCAACATCCCTCTGCTTGTAAATCCCTCTGTATATCCTGCTATGCCTCCCTGAAGCAAACTTGCTCCCAATCAAGAGCTGAGACATGTCAGCACTCCACTCTTCTTCTCCCTCGCCTTTAATCTCCGCACCAGAAGAAACCAAGTACTTGGACCAAGAGACAGCCCTCTTGTATTCCCCAAGCGAAAGCCTCCTCTCCGACTTCCCATTGTTTGATATTTGTTTCAGCCACTGGAAATTCATGGGTAAATGCCAAATCTTGCAAAAATCATCAAACCCAGAAAGAAGAAAGGGAAAACATAAAAAGAAAAAATCCCTCCTTTCTTGGCCCCCTTCAAAACCCAACGAAAAAAGCTTGCACCATCAAGGAAGCTGCATTGTCAAAGCTCAAACCTCCTCATACCCACCTACATTTTCACTAGAATCGAAGACCCATCAACGCTAAGCTCCATTATGCGGAATCAATATAGCGCACGAGCCGCTGAATCAAAGCAAAAGGCACGGCCTTGGAATCAGGAACCACAATGGAACTCCATTTACAAGAAAGGGGACACGTCACTTTTTACAGCAAAAAACGTGATCTGTTTTTTCTCGCCCCCTCAAATATTATATATATATATCGGACGTAACGATCAAGATGACATCAAATAAAAGAAAAGAAAAAAACAAGGGAAATCAGGGAATGACAGCCATTTCCCAATACATGATTGAAGGAAAGAAAGATACAGTCTTTCTTGATCTCACATGGATAACGCAACGACATTGGCAATTGCAGAGAGAGAGAGAAGAAGAAGAAGAAGTTAGGTTTTTGAAGCTAACGATGGAGATTGGAGAGAGAGACAGAGAGAGTCGGTTGAGGTGGTGGAGCGAAAATATTTTTAGTTTTTCGAAATGGAACAAGCGTTTCGCAAGGTGCATTCTAAAAATACGTTCGAAAGCAATTTTGATATAAATATCGCTTAGAAAAAATTATACCCTATAAATTAATTTTGTCAATTTTTTATTATAAAAAATCTCAAACAGTGGTCGGCCGTACGCCATTCGCACGGCGGCGGCACGGCGGCCGCACATTTGAAGGATGTCCGGCGTGAGCTAACGACTCTTATTATTTTAATTTTTTTTGTTAATTGGTAATTTAAGGACACTTGTTGAAGATTCAATTAAGAATAAATGGTAAAATTATAGTTATATCAATTTTGGAAAAAGAAAAAGAATAAAAAAAAATAGGGAAAGTGGACACCATAACTGGCGCTAGTACGACAAACATGAGTAACGTGCGAAGATCCACCCCCGAGCGGACCGACTGGGTCTCGTGACACCGACCACTACCAGTCCCTCTTCCCATTTTGCCCCTCCCTTTTCCCTTTATTTTACAAAACTGCCATTCCCTTTTTAATTTAATTTAATTTTCCGATTGTATCGTGATTATTGGCAAAATATTGCCAAGATGCACGTTGAACGAGAAAAAAGTAATCGGTGTCGATATTTATGACGATGACACTTTGAAAACTCACCTACAAACCTTTATCTATCTAGGATTAGCATGTAAAGAGGAAAAGGGATGATCTACACTCCGAAGTCGAAATAGCAGCAGGAGTTTTCCTTAAACTCGTATATTTATCTCCAAAGTTCGTGGAACACGACCGGCTTAATCACGGGGTTTACTCGTTTAGGAATCGCTTCGATCAGATTAGATAGATAAAACTCGCAATTTATCATAAGAATCTTTTATGATGTGGTAGCCCATTTCGGGAGATAAACTTAATCCGATGACATGTATACAATATCAACTACTTTATTATACAAACCGTGCGATTCAAATCATTCGTCACCGTGTTCTTTCAAAAGTTGAATTTTCCACCTGCTCAAAGGAAATACATTATGATTTTTAACTATTAGCGAAAGCCAATTTGTCTTGCCAGAATTTGAACGGCACCTCCACAACCCCATCTTAGATACTTGTGTGTGTGTATATATATATATATATATATATATATATATATATATATATATATATATATATATATATATATATATATATATATATGCATATGTATGCATGTTTTTCTTTTTATGTAAATGTTTATCATGTGTTTCGATGGATTCAAATTTAGTTTTGACATTGCCACCGGGGAAAATTTCAAATATGGCATTAAGTGCCCTCATTTTCTCAAATAAGGGCGAGACCTAGGCAAGGCGACCCTTGCCCGACGCCAGCGAGGGAGACCCTCGCCCGCCCAGCCCAAGATGACTCTCGGTCAATGCCAGCAAGGGCGGCTCTCGCCTGAGTCGAGCGAAGGGAAGAGGGAAGAAAAAAAAAGAAAAGTAAAATAAAAAGGAAAAGGAAAAACAAAAAAGAAAAAAAAAAGAAAAAAATTTTAAAAGGCAAAAGACGAAAATGTCCTTCGACCGGTAAGGTCGGGCCCTTCTTTGAAAGATTATTATGGCCACTTCAAATCTTTATTTATCAAAAAAACGAGAGCATTTCAAATATTTATTTGACATAATATTTAATTTAAATCTTTATTTGAAATTTTTCTCTTGCCACGGTTATCGGGGAAGGCTAGCGTTGTCCTCCGAAGTTGCGATCGCGCGGGGTAAGGGGGGGCAATACGGTCATTTGGGGGGAGGTGTGGGGCCGTGGGGGAATGGGCTTTGCAGTTAGGGAGCAGTTAAAAAGGGGGGGGCCACATGGGGACCACGCCCACGGGGAGCGTGTCGGGCGAGGCCGTATGGTCCTCTTCCGTATACGGTCATCCTGTCTTTTCCCAATCCCTTTTTATCCCTTCCTTTTTTTTCAATTATTATTATTCTCATTAATATAAATATATCATCGCCGTCCCTTTCATTCATTTATTCGTTCATTTAAAAAAACAATAAAATAGAGGCAGAGCGTAATAAATCTCTCGACGTGTGTGCGGCGACGAGCTCGCGAAGGCCCACGTGAACTGCCGGTGGGTCTCTCCGTACGCGATGACGATCAGCCAAATGGCCGGAGATGTAGGGCCCAGATCGCCTGGGTGTATCTAGCCTTTACAACTCCTCCATGAAAAAATAAATAACAGTTATAATTACAATATTCATGATTAAAAAGAAAAGAGAGAATATTCTCATGGCTTTTTTCCCCCCTTTAATCTGAATTTTCGCAATTATTGGTAATGCTGTCTTGGGGGTGATAATTGGGGTTGGTGGGTGGGTGGTACTCGGTAGCAATCAAAATTCCTATTGTCGTATATATTATAATGGGTTATATCAGAAAAAACCAAACTAGCTGACACATTTACCCCAAACTATTTTTTTGCATAAAAACTACTAAATGATACCGTGTACAGATTTTACCCGAACTAATTTTTAATATTATTTTTTTGAATATTTTTGAATATTTTCTTTTCTTTTTTTTCCTTCACCTTCAACCTCGGCGTCGGCCGTCAGGCCCGGCGACGGCCAGAGGCGGAGCGACGAGGCCGCCCTCGCGGCGTCAGCGGCCCTCGCCCGACACCGGATCGGTGACGGCGACCCTCGCTGCGTCGGGCGAGGCGGCCTCGCCGCGTCGGGCGGTCCTCGCTGCGTCGGGCGGCCCTCGCCCGACACCGGATCTGTGACGGCGACCTCGCTGCGTCGGGCGAGGCGGCCTCGCCGGCGTCGGGCGGTCTCGCTCATGCGTCGGCGGCCCTCGCGACACCGGATACGCGAGGCGACCTCGCTGCGTCGCGAGGCCGTCCTCTCTCGCCCGGGGCAAGGCGACCTCGCCCGACGCAGCGAGGCGGCCCTCGCCGGCGCAGCGAGGGTCTCCCGCCAAATCCGGCGAGGCGGCCTCGCCGATCTGAGCGATGGTCGCCTCACTGGGATCTGGCAAGGACGACCTCGCTGCGTCGGGTGAGGGTCGCCTTGCCACTGGGCGAGGAGGGGCCCTCGCCGGCGCCGCAGGTGGCCTCGCCGGCTTCCCCTGGCCGGTCAGCCGGGCAGGGCACCGGCGGTCGAAGATGAAAAAAAAAAGAAAAGAAAAGAATAAAAAATAAATAAAAATTCGAAAAAAATAAAAAAATAATATTAAAATTTTAATTCAGGGTAAAATTGTCACATATGTACCAGGTTTGAGGTTTTTGTGGTAAGTTCGGGTAAAATTGTCAGGGTGTACCGGTTGGGTTTTGGTGGTCAAAAAAATAGTTCGGGAGTAAAATTGTCACGTGTGTGCAGGTTTGAGGTTTTTATGGTCAAAAAAATAGTTTGGGGTAAATGTGTCACAAGTGTACCAGTTTAGGGTTTTTCGTGGTATTAACCCTATTATAATCAAGGAAAGGATAAATGGATAAGGAAGAAAGATCAATAAAGCAGCAACTTCGAAAAAAGTTGCTCCTACTTATCTAATCTGTCATTTTAAGTTTTTTTTTCTTTTACCTTATTTGTTTTTGAAATGACTCGAAATTCAAATGTTTCAAATTATCTTTATGAAAGGATCGAAAATTCGATATTCAAGGGCTAAGTATTGCGATCGAACCGTCAGACGGGTGGATCGGGTTGGATATTGTCGACCCAAAAAGACTCATTTAACCCATGTTGACTCATTTCCAGGCAATGCAAATCAGGTGAATCATACCCGTCCGGTCCATACCCGATATGATCAATATTGCTAAAAGACTTCCATATTCAAAATTTACCAAAATTCATACTCAAACCGAAATGAGAGTGTGGAGCGAGCGAGCGGCGCAGAGAAGAATGAGAAAAAAAGTTATAGAGGTAGGTTAGATCTACATAAGTTGTAAACCCCATTTATGACCCATCTAACACTCGTATCATGTTTAAACTCATTTATGACCCATTTAATGAATATAACTAACTTATATAACAACTCAGTCATCATATATGAGTTAATAAATGAATTTATAACCATTTTGACGGGTCTTCTTTGGTAATTTTCTTTTGTCCTATCCCCATAAACACGAAGCGCAAGGACGTGACTTCAAAGACTCGAAGGTAATATACACAAATAAGGGCCGAATTACAAATATTAAAAGTGCAAGCTCAAAGCTGAAAAGACAAGTCATGCTTGAGATTTATGTAAAGATCATCACATATCCAATATATATGTACAGTTATAATTCCAAAGTCTGTCGAAAAGTGGAGGATATGGACCCTTGGGGGGGCCAGGACAAGGGAACAGAGGTACATGGTGATGGATCAACGTCAGTTGACCTTACTTTGAATTTATAAATTTAGACGACGGTATATACGAGGAAACTTACCCATTGAACAACGTACGCCTTCCGTTTTTGCCCTTCAGGACACGAGTTGGATATTGTCTGACCCAAATAGACTCATTTAACCCATGTTGACTCATTTCCAGGCAATGCAAATCCAGTGAATCATACCCGATCCGGTCCATACCCGATATGATCAATATTGCTAAAAGACTTCCATATTCAGCCTAATTTACCAAAATTCATACTCAAACCGAAATGAGAGTGTGGAGCGAGCGAGCGAGCGCAAGAGAGAATGAGAAAAAAAGTTATAGAGGTAGGTTAGATCTACATAAGTTGTAAACCCATTTATGACCCATCTAACACTCGTATCATGTTTAAACTCATTTATGACCCATTTAATGAATATAACTAACTTATATAACAACTCAGTCATCATATATGAGTTAATAAATGAATTTATAACCATTTTGACGGGTCTTCTTTGGTAATTTTCTTCTGTCCTATCCCCATAAACACGAAGCGCAAGGACGTGACTTCAAAGACTCGAAGGTAATATACACAAATAAGGGCCGAATTACAAATATTAAAAGTGCAAGCTCAAAGCTGAAAAGACAAGTCATGCTTGAGATTTATGTAAAGATCATCACATATCCAATATATATGTACAGTTATAATTCCAAAGTCTGTCGAAAAGTGGAGGATATGGACCCTTGGGGGGGCCAGGACAAGGGAACAGAGGTACATGGTGATGGATCAACGTCAGTTGACCTTACTTTGAATTTATAAATTTGGACGACGGTATATACGAGGAAACTTACCCGTTGAACAACGTACGCCTTCCGTTTTTGCCCTTCAGGACACGAGTTAAGCACGACGAATGAGAATAATATCAAGGATATGCCATGAATATCTCGATTTCTATGATACGATAGTGTTGTTGTTGTTGATCCCGATGCAACGTAATTTGCATCGAAATAGCTTGGACGTGCCCCCCCCCTATAAACTAATGGGGAAGTCGTTGTTGACCCCCCCCCCCCCCATATGCCTCTGCAACATAGGAGTCGCATTCAGCGTGATTTTGTAAGTACCGTATGATCCGCGATTCCCTAATTTGTTTTCGAACATGATTTTCAATTTTGAGTTTTCGTTCTTTTCTTTTCATTGGGTTTTCCGATCCATCGTTGTTTTTTTGTTTTGAACCGAATTGATAACACTGCCGAAGAGTTGCGTTTGGTCCATAATTCCAAATGCCGAGAATGGTTCCCTTTTGTTTTCGTTGGAGAACTGTTTTGATATTCAAAATGCTTCAAAGCGCATTCCAAAAATTGCTGGCCGAAGAGATTTTCGTAGGTAATCAGGAGAGGATAACTTTCATAACACTCGATGCACGACGGTTGATGTCTATTCTTAAACTTGTGGTGATGTTTTTTGCATGATTAACAACGTCGATTTGATGTGCTCTACCATGGCCTCGAGATTTAGGTGTCGTTTCGCCAATGTCGTATGTTTCGGAATTTGAAATTGTATTTTTGAAAGTAATTGCTTTGATAGAAATTGTTGAAGATATTTAGAAATTTTCTAGGAATATTTAGGATATTTCCTCTGATTTTCTATATCTCTTTTGATTATGTATATGTGATTTGATTTAATTTGATTTTCTCTATCCAAGCCTATAAATAAGCTCTTTATGTACTCTTTTCAATATATTGAAATATATACAATTTCTCATATTTCTTTCTTCCGCAATTCTTATATTTTACTTGGTATCAGAGTCTCCTTTTCCTGAGGCAACTTAGTGCACCGGGTGTACTTCGCACCCGGTGCACCTCACGCACCCCAGAAATTTCCCCAATCCTTTTTTTTTCCGTTTTATCATTCTCAACGCAGGATTGCTGTTCAACTGTGTTCACTTGGTGCCCACAAGTCTCATATGAAGAAGCACTTAATCGAGTGCGCATAATGTTTCGATGCTAATCGCACTGATCGTGTCACCCGTCGAGCCTTTTTCATGGAGGTGGCTTTTTTTCGATGCTAGCCGCACAGGCCGCATCCCAGTAACTCTTTTCCAAGCCTGCCGTATAGGCCGCTTGATGTTACGACGCCAGCCATATAGGCCGCGTCGCTTAGTTACTATTTCGCAAGCCAGCCGTATCGGCCGCTTGCTGTTTCCCCTCTGATTCTCGACCTTTCACGCATCGTTTCGAGAAGCCGAAACCACCACCAGACTCGCTCAACTTCAGATGAGCCAGATGCTGCCTCACTCACCGCCCCGTCCCAGATTCACCAAGCCCGATGCCATGCAGCATCGTTGGAAAAACAAGTTTTCGTGGCATTGTTCGACAATGATTCAAACTCGGTCACTGAAAGTTTGAGGGGGGATGTTGAAGATATTTAGAAATTTTCTGGGAATATTTAGGATATTTCCTCTGATTTTCTAGATCTCTTTTGATTATGTATATGGGATTTGATTTCATTTGATTTTCTCTATCTAAGCCTATAAATAGGCTCTTTATGTACTCTTTTCAATATATCGAAATATATACAATTTCTCATATTTCTCTCTTCCGCAATTCTTATATTTAACTGAAATTATGACTGCCATAAAAGTCACCATTTTATAACAGTTGTATAGCAGTAGTCCTGTAACGACTTTATAACGGTTTTGTAACATTTGATTTATTTATTGGGAAAATTACCAAAACAGTCCTAAATCTATTGCATTTGTGCCAATTCAGTCCTAAACCTATTTTTTTTGTGCCAATTCAGTCTTAAACCTTTTGCATTTGTACTAATTCAGTCAATCCGGCCAATTTTGGCCAGCCGACGCTGAAGTGATAATTTTTTAATATTATTTTTTCGAATTTTTTTATTTTCCTTCATCTTCATCTTCAACCTCTGGCTGGTGAGGCCAACCTCGCCGTTGCTTGGCGAGGCCGACCTAGCCAGTCGCCGGCGAGTTCAAGCCTCGCCAGATCTGGCGAGGGGTCATCCTCGCCGTCGCTGGCGAGGCTTGGCCCCGCCAACAACTGGGGCTGACCTCGCCAGTTGCCGGCGAGTTCAAGCCTTGCCAGATCTGGCGAGGGATCATCCTCGCCGTCGCTCTGGCAAGGGCTCGGCTCCACCGGCAATTGGCGAGGTCGGCCTCAGCAACGGCGAGGCTCGACCTCGCTAGTTGTTGGCGGGGCCGAGCCTCGCTAGCAACGGCAAGGATGAACCTCGCCGATGCTGGGCAAGGTCGACCTCGCCAATTGCCGGTTGGGCCGAGCCCTTGCCAGAGCGACGGCGAGGATGACCCCTTGCCAGATCTGGCGAGGCTTGAACTCGCCGGCAACTGGCGAGGTCGAGCCTCTACTGACCTTGCTAGTTGCCGACAAGGATGACCCCTCGCCAAATCTGGCGAGGCTCAAACTCGTCAGCAACTGGTGAGGTCGGCCTCGCCCAGCAACGGCGAGGTCGGCTTCACCTAACGCCGGCGAGGTCGAGCTTCGCCAGTGACCAGCAAGGTCGACCTCGGCAACCCCCACCGGCAACTGACCAGAGGTTTAAGATGAAGATGAAGGAAAAAAAAATAAAAGGAAAGGAAAAATAAAAGGAAAGAAAAAATAAAAAAATTCGAAAAAATAAAAAATATTATTAAAAAATTGCCACGTCAGCGTCGGCTGGCCGGCGAGCGTCCACGTCAACGCCGGCCAGCCAAAATTGCCCGGATGGACTGAATTGGCACAAATACAAAAGGTTTAGGACTGAATTGGCACAAAAAATGGTTTAGGACTGAATTGTTATAATTGCAATAGGTTTATGACTGTTTTGGTAATTTTCTCTTTATTTCTTCTTAAACCCTCAATGGTCATCTTCTCCTTTAATAATTACCAATTTATTCATAACAATTTCCCAACTATTCTCTCTTTTATTTTGAATATAAGATTAAAACTTCGAACCACAATCAAAAGTGGGAAACACCTAAATAGAAGAGAATTTACTTTTCTTCTCATAGTTTTCCTTTCCTTTCCTTTCCTTACCGACTTGTACACATTACGTTAGTCTTGTTCCTAAAAGTTCTATTGTATTTTGGAAGAATAGCTTCTTAAGCTTATCACATAGAATTTCGTACTCGAGAGGCAGAGTTATCCTTAAAGACATTAATTGCACGTTTTTATCCTTAAAATCAATTGTCCCAGATTGTCCGAGGTAGCCCGGGACAATTGATTTTATTTTTACATTTTTTTAACAGATTTCCAACCATTCTTACTTTTCATTATATCTAACATTTTCCCACCAGAAATCACTTGGTGCGTAGTTCGTGCTAATCGCTCTCGAAAAGGAGTAGAAAGACGACCGCCCAAGAAAAGGGCCTGGTTGCTGAACAAAGTGGACCAGGGGCCCATTTCCAATGCACGTAGAAATCTAACAAGATGTGGTTTTTCATTACGGTGCTGCCGTGCGAGAACGAGCGGATCATTGCGAGAACAGAACATCTATATCGTATTGGACATTTCCCTCCTAATCACGAACGACGAGGACCAACTCTGAATTTGGTGGTCATTGTACGTGTTATAGGACCTCAACACGAGTCGCCAAGACACTAGTTGCCCATCGACCACGCCAAAGATGCAGACAGAAAGAAGCTATATATCTATGTATCGCCCCCGTAAGTTCCACGTCGCAAATCAAATCCAGATTATAAGTGTAATTTAACTAAAGCTACCTATCTCATCAAGCCTATGATGATAGCTGGTAATCTAATGTAACACAAGCTGAGAGACAGACCTTGTGTTGTGCCCCCTACGCTAGCAGCAATCTATCCCTCTTCTGGGCTCAGCCTACTTTTTGCTTCTCTAGAATACATGAAGCTCCAGCTCCTATGGTTTCATCACTTCTCTTATCTCACGAAATAGTGGCGCTACCTCTCGCGTCGTCAAATAAACACAAGCACCACATGAATTCTTTATCTTAGATAATAAGCATTCCCAACAACCTACAAGCAAATTGTAGTGCAAAATGACATACCCATGCATTTGCGTTCATCTGATTATTTAACCACAATATTGGGAACGAATCTGGCGCCCTGTTCAACTTAAGCAACAAAGTAAGCGGAGAAGAACCAGGACTTCCTGACATTCTACATTCTACCGGCTAAACAGATTTATCCTCAAGCAAAATCACGAGTACACATGTCGTAACCAGAGATAAGGGAACTAAAGGCAAAGGATACAAAAGCCAGGAAGGCCATCCCTATTGAAGCGCTCGCCATTTCCGTAAACTGATCCTTGCCCCAGTTTGTTTCCCAGTCAACAACTCGGGTTGCTGCTGCGGTTGATGCTGCTATCAAGAGATATGCCAGAATCTGAAATTGAATCAGAAGAACCTTGCCACTCAGTATGAATGCCCATCATCTTAAAATGGGAAGGTCTAAACACGTGTATCATTATAAAGAAGAGGCTTCAAACAAGAGCCTGAGCAAAGCCTGAGTTCAATCTGAGCATGAGACTGCAGACATAAAGAGTAAATACAGACTCCCTGAATGCCTCTACTAAATTAACAACAGCCACGTTTAAGTTCTCCATACAGCAATTAATCTTTCCTCTCCTCAAGAGCATTAGAAGACAAACTCAATATCACGAGTTCTGATATAGAGGGTATGAGTGTAACGAATACTCTGCGATTCTACACTTGTATACATCAAAATTTTCCAAAAGCAAAGGAGCAAAGAATAATTCGACCGCATGCTAAATGTAAGAACGGAAAGGGAATATATACTTGCTTGACTTGCCTGATCCATGAAGAAATCGAAATGACAACGGAGGTGGTGGCCGATGACATGCTTCCCAGTGATGAAATGGTAAGTCAGATCATATGCTTGAAACCCTGAATATGCAAATCCAATGACATTCACGGATAGACAGAACCTGCCATCAAACCAGCTTTCTCGTTAGGATAACGAGAAGGAGAAGAAGAACCCCGTGAAACTTAAGAGCTAGAGAAGGAACAGAACATCTAAAGCAAGAGATAACAATGATTCTGTTAGTGCCAGCATCCAGTTTCCATAAGAAGCAACACGATAATACTGAACCTACAACCTCCAGCATGAACCCGCAAATTAAAGTAGAGCTTCGTAGCGTGAAGCATCACTGAATCTGATTCTGCAAATTCAAAAGAGATTCAGAAGGAGACAAAGTCAATAGATTTTTTCCTCCCTTTCTGCCTACGCAAGAAGAGTATTATCCGTGCGACTTCCTCCATATTATTGAGGCGCCAGTTGTTGCGGACAACAAGCTTTTTGGTAAGCTCGGGACGATAAAGCATGCATTTTTTTTTGGCGATGTGAGAATGGACGCAACGATGGTTCTCGATCAGAAGCTAAATTTAAAGAAGAAGATACGCAGCGGAGGCGCACCTGTACTCCTTGTAGCGATCAAACGAATCGCCACTCCATCCCTGGGTCTTATCAGCAGCCATGACCGAGAACGAAATCAGGCACAGTATCATCTCGCTCATCCTAAACCCTAGCCCCGCCCGCTGCACCATCTCCCTGCTCCTCGACCTCCTCAGTATCGTCGACACCGCCGCCGACCGCCCCTCCTCCCTGCCCCCCCTCCCGCCGCCCTTCGCCGCCGCCGCCGCCGGCTGTTCGGGGGCCGCGTCCTCCTCCTTCGCCGCCCTGCTCACCGCCGTCCCCCGCGGAAGCGGCGGCGGCGGCGGGGGCTTGCGGTTCGAGCTCTCGAGGGGCTTCTGGGCCAGGGGGAGGCGGGAGTGGAGCGGGGAGCAGCGGGGCAGCTTGTCGACGGCGACGATGGCCTTGGAGTTGTTGGCGCGGGGAGGCGGAGGCGGAGGCGGAGGCGGCGGCTTGTCGAGGGTCCCGGCCGGGGAGGAGTAGGGCGGCGATTCGGCGGGGTCGCCGAACTCGTCGGATCTGAGGGGGGAGTGGTAGAGGCTGGGGGAGTCGTGGATGGTGGAGGACTCGGAGTTCCGGGACGACGACTTCTTCATGGCGCCGCCGCCGCGGGGCTGCGGGCGGGGGAGGAGGAGGTGGTGGTGGCGGTAGTGGTGGTGGTGGTTTTGAGGGTCGGAGGAGTTGGGGTTGGATTCCATGGGCTTGGGGACTACTGAATCGGTGGTGGTGGGGTTTCTTTAAGGAGAGAGGGAAAGCAAGAGATAGAGAGAGAGAGAGAGAGCTTTCAGTTTTCCACGCTCTGAGAGTGAAAGAGAGAGAGAGACACTCCACACACACACAGCACAACACAACACAACACATATCCACACCGGTTTTGAAGTGGGGCCCACTCGCTGCCACGTAAAGCTTCGCTTTCAAAAAACGGATGGCTAGCCTACGGTGCTATGCGTGTACAGGATTGTGACGACGATGACTAGGGGTCCATAAGACTATAAGACTATTCTGTGCCGGGAAAAAAGTGGCCCAAGGGTCGTAAATTTATTGTATTTTTATTAATTAAATTTTAAATCTTTTTAATTGTATCGACCCGATCCTAAATATTTTACAAATTTTTTCCGATTGATTTCGTCAGGCCAATTTTAGCCGGAAATTACCCGACGTGGATAATTTTTAATAATATTTTTCATATTTTTGAATTTCGAATTATTTTTTCCTTCTTTTTCTTTCTCTCAATTTCCTTTTCTTCTTCCAAACCCGGCCGGGGCTGTTGGCCAACCCTCACCAGTACAGGCGAGGGCCCTCGCCGAACTTGATAGAAGAAAAAAAAGGAAAAGAAAGAAAGGGAAAAAAAAAAGAAAAGTACAAAAATAAGAAAAATTATCCACGTTAGCACTGGTCATCCTACGTGGTACTACCGGGATCCACGTCAACAAATTCTAGCTAAAATTGGCTAGATTGACTCAATTGGCAAAATATGAAAAATGTTTAGGATTGAATCGGTAAAATTAATATTTTTGGACAATTTTTGCATCTTGGGCTGCTAGAACTTAAGAGAGGAATAGGGCACACACAAAGTCAACCTCCATAAATCTCGTTTGCAGTTTGTTTGTCCTTAAAAACTTATTAGGTTTTGCCTTTAACATTGTGAGTTCAATTTGCTTGGAGAGGCAATGGGTTTGATGTGCTTCGGTAACTTCAATAAGTAATGCCGTAATTATCTATTTGCAAAGCATAGAAAGACTACTCATTACTTCCACCCGTGACTTTCCTTACAGACTTGGAGAACGAAAATTAATTTCAGACAATAGTGTCCCGATAAATAAAACCCAGATTTAAAAAAAAAAAACTAAACTATAAAAGTAGATTTCACCCCCAAATAGGACTAAATCAACTCTTTACCATACGCACAAAAAATTTATTTCATGGTTCATCATCTAAGCCTGACCCCTTTAGGTAGAGCAGCACCACCAATCAACCATAAAATCTATGGCGATAATTATGGTACGACGATCATTGAATCTTGAAGAAGATTTCTCAGTCCCATGGATTGATCGGTAGGCGCTCATTCGACAAGCCAAAGTATTTGTTTGTTTATACAGTATGTATGATACGAGAATTTGGAGCACCTTAAAGTCACGCTGTCTATATCAAGACGCACCTAACCCCACAACACCGAAAGAAGTGAGGAAAGCTCTAAAGCCACCTTGGCGGTGATGGTAATTTAATACTTAATTTAAACTTTGAATTGCCTTTTAAAAATTTCTTCATTAAGTAAATCTCAATACTACTACATACACGACCAAGTTATAATTGCATAAATATGGCATATTACATTCTCCTCCGCTATAAAAAAAGAAGAAGAAGGAGGTAGCAAATCGAAAGCCGACAAGTGATGGCACGCTATAAAAAAAGAAGAAGGAGGTAGCAAATCGAAAGCCGACAAGTGATGGCACGCGCAATTGAAATTGGCCTCATTGAGGTAGGTCAAAAACATGAATAATTACTTCACCAGAAATTTTTTGTGTCATCATTTCTCGGCTTTTAATTCAATGCCATCTTCTTCTCTTTTTTTTTTTTTTTGATTATTTGTTTCCTTTTTAATGGAGAAGAATGCTTTTTGCGATTTTTATCAAATTATAATTCGATCAGAAGGTCTCGTCAACAACTGCCCTTAAGGCACTGATTAATTTAACTAAACTTTAAAGAAATTATACTTTTTGAGAGGTTTCGAAAATTGAATAAGTACATACATACATCAAGGAGGAAGCTACTTGCTTGAAATGGAAGATTTTTACATTTTCCAAAACATAATTATAAGGGCTAACGAGTGGAGGGCACTAAGAGCACTCTTTAATCTTTTCCTTTCAGAAAAGGGCTAGCAAACAAACTCAAATTGGCCTTGGTTGGATCCAAAGTCCAAACAAGCTGGCCATGGACATTTCAACACGTCCAAAAGTGATGCTTTATTAGGTTCTTTGTGCTTTTAGGAGTGCCTTATGCTTTTGTGTGGGGAAAAAAGCAAAAAAATAAAATACTTCACAAGCTTTTTCATTTATCTTCCTTAAAAACAGATGCCTTCTTTTTCTTTTCCCCCCCTTTTTCTGCTGGTCTTGCCTTTTCTAGGTTCAATCAAAAGATGGATCAACAAGAAGACACGGAAAAGAAACGTCATATAATTCACCTCAAAGCGATGCCGGCGAGACACCCGGTTCCAACAACATCCTCCACAGGCAAAAAGGAAAAGGGAAACAGAAAAGACGACAGAAGAATGCGAACGATTGAAATGAATCAAGGAAAGCATCACCTCACTCCTAATGCCTTGAATAACAATAAGAAAACACCCCCGCCATCCCCCACCACCCCCCCTCCCCAATGCCCAAATCATGTGCACGAGTTGTCAACATCAAATTTTAGCACAACAGCAGCTCAAGAACTAAAGGACACAACTATAAATATTCCCAGGCAGCAATCACATATCATCATGAGCCACCCATCCTACTATTAGCATATATCTGCCAGCAATACGATGGCACAGCGTCAATTGCATGAACTTTAGTTCAGAAGAATGAGAACGTATCCACCAAATTAACAAAACCACAGCAAGATTCACATTCTTCTCTGAAACCATAAAAAACAGTTTAGACAATCAAACAACATCAGATATATTCATGAGTCATATCCCAATGAACGGAAACCCCAGGAAGGAGTCGAAGTAGAATGTGTCACTATCATGTATATCTCAAAGCATCTCATTACATGCCAATTCGGTCACTGGTCATCCTCCTTTAGCTGGAGGAAATCCATGACTAAATTTTAACAAAACAAACTAATATGCACTCAACAACTCATTGGATTAAAGCAGAGACGGTCCTTATATTGGTTGGCGAAAAAACTATACATATAAGACATAAACACTACAAGAAAAGGCTGAAAACAAAGAAAGCATAAACATATACTATCAAAACTTTCCTCTCAAGACGAGATAAGTAATGGCAGGTGATACTCCATATGAATCCAACATGCTATGGACAAAAACCTCTATGCTCCGCCTTTAAAGTAGATATCTCTTTTCTCTACCACATCAAAAAGGGTAACGAGAAATACTCGATACCTACGAGCTCATTCAGGTAATTTCAGACGGTTGAATAAGACAAGGAAACTCCGCTCAGGTACCACATATAGGAATCCAAGATCAGCTCCCTTCAAGTATGGACCCATGCCCTATAATTTGAAATTATAACAAGAAAACATATAACTGACGTAAATGACCTGCTATACACAATTTGTGACGGCAGACAGTCTTGGGAGTGGTGTTACCTTGCCATTTAATTGAAGAAGCTCACCATCAACCCATTTTGGGTTGCGAAATCCGAACTCAGCTATCCTTCCTTGACCTTTGTGACTGGCAGCCTAAAAGAAAAGCATTCCGCAATTTAATATATCTACCCATCATGGGCAATAATGCAAAGAAAACATCAAAAGGATTTTACTAATCCGGCATGGAGGGGAACAGTCCACAAAATCTGGCAATTTTCTGGCACCTATACTGACCAGAAATGATATCACAGCAAGAAAAAAGAAATATCTTCATGTTGTTTGTTGAGATGCCAAAATTGTCATTTCAAGTACACGAGACAGAGGTGTGAATGGAAACTTTATGCTCTGAGAATTTAGCAGCAGCTAGAAACAAAGACTTGTATTACTGTACCATCCAGCCAAATTACAGAGAAGAAAACCCAGAGAAATTACACGGTAACCCTAAAAAAAGAAGCAATCCAAAACATCAGGATGCACATCCTCAATGAGAGAGAGAGAGAGAGAGAGAGATTACCACGCCTAATTCATCTGGAAACATCCCTCGATTAGAAGCTCGTCCCCTTTTCCCAATTTTGGCACGAAATGTAACCTATAAAATCATACTTTTGGTTAGCTCAAACTTAGATGCATCCTCGCATAATAGATAAATACAAACAAGCAAATATGTAATCCTTTGTGATCATCCCAAAGACGTGAATATAAAAGACCTGGCCAGCAGGAACATTAAGATCCCCAGTCAACTTCACCGCTTCAACATATTCAAAGAATTCCACATCCGATGAACTAATATCGGAGCCATTCCAATGTCCGAACTTGCGTCTCAGTTGAACCACCTCAGTACCATAAGGGCCAAATGCACCGACATATAAGCCTAGAATTTAGGAAGCAAATGTCCTTTAATGCCAGGTTTCTCATAGTAAAGAAAAAAGAAGACGAGAAAGGAAAAATCGATAATCTAAAGCGCACCATCAAAGGGATCTAAATCGCCTTTGGAAGTGGTGATTCGACTGAAATTCGTAAATTCAGATAGTCTATTCCTTTTCTCTGCCTGAGTAACTGCGAGTTTGACGATTTCCCGAACATCTCTTGAAACCTACAACACAAAAGTGAAGGAATGTTTGAAACATGAGTGCAGATAATGAAAACAAAATGAATTTTTTCACGCAACTATTTTTGAAAAGTATAAGACGCATGCATGGCTCCAATACCATAATATTCCGTTTTATGTGAAAGCCAATCATATTCAGAAAATGAATTCAAGTATTTTTCATTCTCTATGACCAGAATGCAAAGACACTGAACAGAAGTAAATATGCTGCTGTTGATAAAATTTCGTTGGCAACATTTGTGTTTGTTCAGCTAAATACAACTTTTGTGCTAACTAA